ACAGGACTGACAGGCGCTATTCACGCGATGCGCGCGCTGATATAGCGCTCGCGTACGCGTAACCGGTAAGCCTGGTACCCTCAGAAAACGGTCGTTGGGTTTTAAATGAGTTGTGTGAAATTTTCGCTAATGAGACTGTCAGCCGGGTTTAATTTTGCTCTATTCTTAGTTTACGAAAGCTACGAAATTTCTAGGTGCCGAAATCAGAATCTAGAGATTACTACGAAAGCTACGAAATTTCTAGGTGATCTAGAGATTACTACAAAATCCGAAATTCTTAGGTGAACAAACCACACAAATCCCGAAACTCTGAGCCCAACGAACAGTCACCACGAAACATTTTCGAAATTTTTAGCTGTTCTTGGGCTCCCGAAAATTTTAGCCATTCTAGAGGGCTCCGAACAGATATTTCCCCGAAAACGATCGTTGGGTGCCCCTGAATAAAGAATACAATAAAACTAAAAAAGCCGCCGTAGCCGTTAAAAATTATGAAAGTTGAAATTCAGTATAGCCGTTAATAAGGGCATCTTAAGTTAAGAATCATGCATCCATCGGTGAACTCGGGCAGCGCATTAAATGAAGTATTTAAATAATGGTAATTGAACTGAGTGGAGTGTAATTTGGTTTAAATAATACGCGTGATTTGCGCTAGTTCGATTTGAAAGTACGAGTATGACTGCAGACCAAAATTACACGACGCGAAGTTCGATTACCACTTTATTACAGCCATTTTGAAATCGCAGAATTCAGTCAATACCAATATTTTTTGATCAATTTAGCCAGTTTGTTGAAAAGCGGAAACAAAAAGGCATTTACATCTCACATTGTATTCGAAACAGAAAGGATGCGATATAGAGCAAAAATGGTGCGATTTAAAACAGAAATGATGCGATTTATAATGGTAATTAAACTGAGTGGAGTGCAATTTGGTCTGAAATCATACACGTGATTTCAAAATCGAACGAGCTCGCAGCGTGAGTTCGATTCAAAATCACAAGTATGATTTCAGACCAAAATTGCACGACACGAAGTTCAATTGCCACTTTATTACATCCATTTTGAAATCGCAGAATTTAGTCAGTACTAATATTTTATTGATCGAGTAGCCGGTTTGTTAAAAAGCCGAAACAAAAAAGCTTTTACATCTCGTTTTGTATTCGAAACAGAAAGGATGCGATATAGAGCAAAAATGGTGCGATTTAAAACAGAAATGATGCGATTTATAACATGAATGAAGCGATTTGGAACAGATGTGATTTAGAGCAAAAAATGGTGCGATTTAGGAATAAATCACACTGCTGAGAGCCAATCAGATTGCACGGATAGCCAGTGATTTCAAAGTGGATGTAATAAAGAACATGAATGATGCGATTTGGAACAGATGTGATTGAGAGCAAAAAATAGTGTGATTCGTGAATAATCACACTGCTGAGAGTCAATCAGATTACAAGGATCACCAGTGATTTCAAACTAGATATACTGGATATAACAAATTTACTAAGTAACGTCGATTATTGATATCCAGGTTTTAATTCATTAGTCGCAAACTGGGTCTTTGATCAGGGCTGCTGATTGTTTAAATTTGTATAAGCACCCAAACATTATAAGAAACTATAATCTGAAAAGACCCTACTTTTGATTTTATTAAAATAGGTTGTGTGTTTTCGAAAAATGCCATGGTTTGACTAGATAAATACTTCCCGCGCACGATTGCCGTCATCAGTAACTTTAACCGTGTAACATCGCTTTTTAAACATTTGACGATTTTCCATGAAATGTAGCAAAGACTTGACTTTTAGTTTGCCCAAAAGGACGCACAGTTTCTCTGGTGCTGAGATGCATTGCTCAATTCTATAATTATAAATAGGTGATTCGTTTAGTGCGACCAACAGCCGCTACATGCGTGTAACAGCTTATACCTCTCACAGTTCAGGGGCACCCAACGACTGTTTTCTACAATCTCTGTTCGGAGAAGCAAAATTTACCTAGAATTTTCTATAGCTTGAGGAAGGATAAAAATTTCTAGATGACCGTTCCATTCAGGTACAATTTTCGAAGCTTATCTAAAATTCCCTACGATTTTCTGAAGTTTAATTTTCCCCATTTCACTCCCCAGGTTAGGCTATTTCTCGTAGAGAAAGGAAACCTAAGATTTTTGGAATCGAANACCCTACTTTTGATTTTATTAAAATAGGTTGTGTGTTTTCGAAAAATGCCATGGTTTGACTAGATAAATACTTCCCGCGCACGATTGCCGTCATCAGTAACTTTAACCGTGTAACATCGCTTTTTAAACATTTGACGATTTTCCATGAAATGTAGCAAAGACTTGACTTTTAGTTTGCCCAAAAGGACGCACAGTTTCTCTGGTGCTGAGATGCATTGCTCAATTCTATAATTATAAATAGGTGATTCGTTTAGTGCGACCAACAGCCGCTACATGCGTGTAACAGCTTATACCTCTCACAGTTCAGGGGCACCCAACGACTGTTTTCTACAATCTCTGTTCGGAGAAGCAAAATTTACCTAGAATTTTCTATAGCTTGAGGAAGGATAAAAATTTCTAGATGACCGTTCCATTCAGGTACAATTTTCGAAGCTTATCTAAAATTCCCTACGATTTTCTGAAGTTTAATTTTCCCCATTTCACTCCCCAGGTTAGGCTATTTCTCGTAGAGAAAGGAAACCTAAGATTTTTGGAATCGAAAATGCCATGCAGAGCCGAATAAGAAAAACTATCACTTTCGTAAAACTTTAAATTGGAGCTAAAATTTTCGGGAAAATAATGTTAAAGTTCTCAGTGTAATTTTCGAAAAGACTCAAGTTGCCCTAGGATGACCGAACGGATCTAAATTTTTTAGCGCCACTTAGAATACATTTCTAGAGATCTTAAAGTACTCTGGATAGCCTAAAAGGTGTTTTCAAAGCATTTAGGAGGAAACCGTCGTTGGGTGCCCCTGACAGTTTTTCTAGTATGTAATTAACACTTTTGCACGACAGGAACTCCGCTTTTAGACAATGCCCAAAAACCGATGCCAGACCCTGTGTTGATCTCAATGCTCGCCCGACAAGACTCCCTGTTTGAAAATATAAATAGTAAAAATATGGAACTGAATTCGGAACGCAAGGCTTTGTCTTGCTTCCCTTTTTTTTTCCCACTTAAAATGGACATCAATATTAGCGGAGCCTGTAACCTGTATGTGTTTATCTATGAAACCAAAAGCATACAACGCCGGGGTCATATACCTTCTGATGCAACCTAATGAGGACGAAACAGTCCATAGCAATCTCGACCCAGAAATCTTCTACGAGAATGTGGCTGCTACTGCCGGGGTGATATGGTTGTGCGCATGCATAAGGTACTGGCCATACCGCGGAGCTGGTACGTGCGTTTTAGTGCTGAAAATGGTGTTGTTTAAAAACATTGAGGGTATTGCCCTAAATAGGGTATATATTGTAGGATTTTGTGTTGTCCTGAACAGGGTCAGAGTTTCAAGCCTCAGCGGCTCACCTTTACTGTACTCAAATATTGGTCGAGTGATAAAGTTACTTAAAAGCGTGCCCAGGTGATACTCGATGTAACATGTATATGACCGCCAGCCAGCGTGTCCTGTCCGTACTACTATTATTTTCTCCCCCTTTTTTACCCAGTAAAGTATATTAGACAAATTTACTAATGAACCGTTTTTATTTGCATTTATTTACAATTACACGATGCTTTGATACATTGCATGAAGACTACTAGCGCGCGCATCCAATTCTTTATAACTTAAGTAGCGATCAAATCTATTTGTAAAACTGAAATTACTTACACTGAACGCAACAAATTTATCATTTATTTGTATGTTGCCTGTGTCAGATTTGCTTCAATTTTTCTAGAAAATAAATTAAATTCAGCCTCTAATAATACCTTCGTAAGTTTGTGCACTGTTTTGCTATTCTTGGGAACCTTCCTGATGCGGCAACACGACGCGGTTTAATCTTCTAAAAGCTCGTTTTTCCATGTTTTCAGCGTCTGCGTTGCTTTTTCTAAAGACAAGCTGGATAAACGCAACGCGAAACTGTCTGATACTTACACAATAAATAAATGGATTGACCATAGAGTTAAAAACAGCCGCTGTGAGGCCGGTAGAGAGAGCAGTGTATCCTAAATTAACTGAATTTAGAGGTAAATAGCACAATATTAAACAGATAAGTACCGTTGCTGTCAGTTTAAAGGCTTTATTCTCCCTCAAGAATTTCTCTCTGGCTTCCAAAGAGACTTGCTGGTTAGCTATTTGTTTTTTATGCCGACTCGTTTCGTAGTATAGTACGACTTGACAGACGAAAACTGTAGCTGTGAATAAAGATATGATAATGACATCAACTATAATGGAAATTATTTTATCACCAAGAAAAGAGAAAGGTACTATTAATGGTCGCAGTATAATCCAAAGAAGTGCGGACAAACATACAAGGCGATCCTCAGTGACGATGGTTTCGTACTGCAGGGAATGTTTGATGGCGATGTACCTCTCTACGTGGACCATGGCTAAGTGAGAAAGTGTTAAATTACCTAATACCCTCAGGGCGAGTCTTGATAATACTGTCTTGATACAGTACGTACTGGAGGTGTTTCCTTGCAGTTGTACGATCACCCAAGCGATAAAAGCTGGTTGACCTATTACCCCCATTGTCAAATCAGTAGTCGACAAGCAGGCGAGTGCAATGTTTGACTTGGTTTTCAATCGGTGTTTAGTCTTAACAGCGATTATGACCAGTGCATTCATAACAGCTGTGAGTGGACAAGCAACGATGTTGATGACGGCAATGAGGATAAGCCAACCATAAGCCCACATGGTAGTTTCATCAAGAAAGCCATACGGAATCGCTGGATCACATGCAAGAGCTATCCTCTTCGTCTCTGAGACTGCACTTGAATTCACATTGTCCCTTTGGCTTGCCTTGGTGAAGATATGTTTGTAGCTATGGCACGAGTATTGATCAGCCAACGTTACTTTCGTACTTTTTGCTCGACCGACTGCTCGTGTGGTATGGGTTTTGTGAAGTTTGGATTTGAATTTCAATTTATATATTTTTTACAGTCAGTGAGTTTGTCGTAGCATTGCAGGTGTCAAATACATGAAAATGATTATTCATGTTAATCAAAGGCTTAGTTTTTCCTTTTTAAAAGTTGAAGGATACAGTATAAAAGGTGGTCCTCTTGAAAATCATGAAAGTGGCTGTAGTTTATAAAAGCATCATCAGTCTTAAGCTAAAAGTCATCATCATTAAAATCGGGCAAATATCTTTTTATTTTTAGTTTTCCTACTGTAGAAAATTCATCTTTATTTCTTAAAAATACTCCAAAAATAATAATGATGATGATGATGATAAATTTTCGTAAATCATGATACAGGTTTGTCCTCTTTACAATATTAAATTCTTATTTTTTGGGGGACAATTAATAATGGTTCACTTGAAACACAAACGATGCATTAGCGGATATTTCATACAAAAGTCAGGGAAAAGTTAACTCTTATCATCTTTTTTCACTGTTTTAACAAAAGAAACAAATTTAAATGCGTAACAGGCCAGATTGCGGCTCATGGCGTTAAAATGTTTGATAAAAGTCTTAAAGTGGGTCTGAGTAAAAGTGTGTCATGTCCGTAACACTGAACTAATTACCTTTCAAGATACTCCCTCTCTCGTCAGACGAGGGCTCAACTCCCACTCAGTTGACAGAGTGAAGCGTGTTACATCTAAAAGATGTTCCAAAAGTAAACACTCCCTTTTTTGATCTGTGCCAATTTGAATTTCAGTGAATGGTGAATGGAAGGTGGTGATAATTACATGAGCTTTAATTCATGTTTAACAAAAAGTGAGGCTTTGTTATGACTTTCCTACTCTTTCTACTGAGGATCACCAGGGTATTTGAAAATAAATAATTGAGGGGATACAATTTGCTCGCGTCAACAACTTTCTACAGCTGTTCTGAGTTGAAAGACATCGCTTCTGTTACCCTTCTTAAACAGTAAAGAGAGTAAAAACTGAGCTAAACTGTCTTTGTGGAGCCAATTTCGCACTAGATGACTTGATATCCAGCTGTAGTTACTTTTTCATTCGTGCAACGGATTGATCCATTTTCGCAAGGATTTTGTCCCAAATGTGAATAACAATTGCCGTACGGTGCAACTAATGGAGAGTCTGCATAACTCTAGCCTGCGGACACAGACGCATTACCGGTCGTCGCTTATCGGGTGGAGAGAAGCGACGACCGCAAAAACGTCAGACTAACAGAACTCCTTATTATTATTATTATTATTATTATTATTATTATTATTAATAATATTATTATTATTATTATTATTATTATTATTATTTTATCCCCTTTTTTATCAAATAAAGCATATAAGATAACTTCAATAGAGCGGTTTTCACTTGACTGTCGTAAAACCAAAACCAAAGTAAATACACTAGCCAACCAAAGGGCGTAGTAAAACCAAAACCAAAACCAAAACCAATCCCTTTCGACAGTCAAGTGAAAACCGCTCTAGTGACCTGTTTTTATTTACATTTACTAGTATTACACAATGATTTTGAAGATTGCTATAATGCGCATACTCAATTTGTAAAGCTGAAATTAATTACACTGATCGCCACACATTTATCCCTTCTTTGTATGTTTGCCTGTGTCAGATTCGCTTCAATCTTAGAAGAAAATAAATCAATTACAACCTCTAATAATCATGATGCAGGGGCGTAGAGTGAGATTTTGTAGGTGTACGCACGCGCGGAAGAAAAGTTGTAGTGCCGAAGGCGGCCCACCGTAGGGAGATCTGGGGGCATGCTACTCGAGAAATTTTTAAATTTAGGGTCTCGGAAATACCACCTCCAGCGTTTACTGCAGGATATTTTCAGTAAATTTATACTAAGGAAAATGCAATTAATTGTGTATTTTTCCTATTTCTAGTGTTGTCTGTAAAGTACAGTGTTTCCGGGAAAAAAAGGCCAGTGACGTCATCAAAATTATGGGATAATAAAAGAATAAAGGACATACTAACACAAGGATTCGGTAGTGGCGAAAAATGTATCATTCATTCCGATTTAATGATAAAAAATGCTTTTTCAGGAAATAAAAATATATTTTTATTATACCAAGTCATTTGACATGAGATAATTTTCCTGAGCGCGACCGAGAGCTGTACGTGGCGGCGCACTCGTTTTCTGAAAAGTTGCGTAATCAAAGACTGACTCAAATTTGGTTGGAGTCAATTTGTGGCCACTAAAGATGACGAACTTTATTCTCATGATCTGCTAATGACAATACACAAATATCTCTTCAGCAAAGGTGGGGAAAAATCCGCCACCAAATAGGTCGATACAGTTACACAAAGTAAATAATTAGAGCACAGACAGGCGGCAGGGTAGGTGGTAAAAAATTGCGAGAATTCAATTCAAGCCAAGTGATGTGCACTGTGTGATAGTGAGCAGTCTAAAGGGGCGAGCACATGGTAAAGTACGGTTAAGAACTATAATGACACCTGGAACGCCTTAGATTCTGATTGGTTAGAAACTAGATACGCTCCATATACCTGCCGCCTGAGCGTGAGGCCCCTTGTCTAAGTAAATGCCTCGTTATGATGACGTCATAATGGTGTCATTTTTTCAATATTTTAACTGCACATGTACGCACGGGCGTATGTGAGTATATGGACGTTACGCCACTGTGATGGTAAGTGCATTCATAACAGGAGTCAGTGGACAAGTAACGCTGATGATGACGTAGCCTCTCACGGAGACGTTCTTAGGGGTTCGTCACGCGTTCCTGCCTCACTAAGTGGGCCAGGAACGCGTGACGAACCTCTAAGAAAGTCTGCGTGGGACGCTAATGATGACGGCAATGAAGATAAGCTGCTTAGCCACCAATAAGCTCCGGGACTACTTTCATCAAGAATTCCGTTGGGAATTGGTATTGGTGGAACACATTCAAGAGCAAAGGTTACTCTCCCCAATCTTCTTCTGTCATAAAATCAAAGATGGCGGCTACAGCAAGACGAACATGAACAAGTTTCGTCCACCCAAAATATCTCTGCACTGTAGGCTGGAGCTATCCTTTTTGTATCTGGGGCTGCAGTTGAATTCATGCCTTTTCTTTGCCTTGCCTTGGTGAAGATGTGTTTGTGGCGATGGTACGACCATCTATCAACCGTTTACTTTCAAACGTTTCGTTTGAAAACAGTCAGTGAATTTTTCTCTGCATTGCACGTGTCAAATGTATGAATATTCGATGAATGATTCTAAGGTAGCCTGAATTTCAGACGATTACTTCGAGTCGTTTTTACTCCGAAAACGAAAACTCACAGTTCAAATTGTTATTTTAGGAATTCGACAAGGTACAGAGAAGTAATACGAGCGATACACGAAGATTTTGTTTTTACAAGAAACACTGCTTTTATGAACTTGAGAGATATGAAAGATATCGTTTTTCTTTGTTTTAATTATTGGTGTTCTTTGGCAATCTAACAAGCTCTCCACTTACGGCACTTACGGCAAGCGAAGGAAGCTGCAAGAGAACGCGCTAGGAGCGAGTCTTTCGCGCTGCTCTCGCATGACTTCTCGCCACTCCTTCAAGTGAAGAGCTTGCTCGCCGGCTTGGTGTTCTTAGTTAAACAAGCCTCGTAAAAACTGAAGCCGTTTAAATTTAGCTGATACATTTGTTTTAGTTGACAACAGTGCCATTTTCATTTGTCACCAAACACGGATCTTGGACTCGATTTTATGCACTCTAAATGATTGCACCTGCTATAAACGTTTCAAAGAAGTATTCGTTCGGCAATGGGAGGATTTTCCTTGTTTCAACAGAAAAAATGGTCTTAGGGGTATCTTAAGGTAAAAATCACAAATCGATGTAAAAAGTGAAATACAGTGAATATTTAACAATTATTCCACGAGTGCGCTTTGTGGCGTTGGATATGAGATGGTAGATAGCCAACGAGGCGCATAGCTCTGAGTTGACTATAATCATCTCATATCCAACAAGCGCGAGTGGAATAATTGTTTTATTAGAAACACCCACAAAATATGGAGAATTCTTCCCGACTTTATTTGTAAAAACAACCGATTTCCAGCCTGTTTTAATTTTGAGCTGACGTGTACAGTTACCATATTTGGAGAGCATGGTGGAATGTCTCATATCATAATGCCACGATGGCTAAGCCAATCATGGCTCTGGAATTGCATTATCCAATTATTCAGTTTTTCAATAAATAGATATATACATTTAATTAAACTGAAAGCTTTGTTAATCCAAACGCCAAAAAACCAACCAACGTATCATAAAAGTGAGGCTTACATATAGCTTTCGTTGAATTTGTAGCTTTAATTCTGTTTGAGTTATAGTGTGACTGCAGTTTTATCGAGTGGGACAGTTTATTACGGCGGTTATATTTTTAATTAAACTGAAAGTGTCTGGAAAAAAAATCGACAAACCAATCAGAATATCACACTTTGAACCTTAAATAGAGATTTCGTTGAATTTGTTACTGTAGCAGATGTTTTATTAAGCGTAGCAGTTATGATCTTTTATGTCCACCTGGATTTATGAAACCGGATTAGCAAACATTTTATAATTTCGCTCAACTTCCCATGTCTTAGCTTGTTTACTGTGTTGTTTGCTTATGCCGTTTTTCAGTGGCATTTTTGTGGTGAGGTATTTGTGTAGAAGTAGCTATAGAGGAAGTTTCGCGAATTTTCAATTAAAACTGAAGCCGCTTAAATGCTGCTAATACATTTGTCTTAGCTGAAAACGGTGCCATTTCCATTCATCATCAAACATCGAAAAAACAAGTGCGATAATTTCTTTTATAATTGTTGCTTTTCTACATGACATGGACAATACTCTATAAAAAAAATGCCATGGACACAAAAATGTTTTGCTCAAAAAAAGGCGTTAGAGTTGACTGGAATCTTATTTTATTAATAATAATGATAATAATAACAATAATTTAATCAAAAAAACATACTTTATTAAACTCTTCTCAAATTGAAATTTAAATACAAATTTAGTATAACTATAGTTAAAAAAAGACTTCTTAGTGGTCCGGTGGTTTTCATCAGAGCAAATGTAAACAACTGTCTATAAACTAAAAAATGAAACTTTCTATGTACATCCCAATAATAAAGTATCTATAGCTGTTGAGTCTAGGGACCTTGACCCTTCTCTATTTCTAGATCCCTGTCCTTAACATCTAAGTTCCTTCTTCTCGGGGTTCTCGATCCCCTTAGGCATAGGAGCGCGCTCTGCAAAATTGCAAAGGACACTTTCGCCCTGACCCATGAAATTGTTGTGGCGTAGCTCTCTTGCGTTTTTGTAGATAATAGCTCGGCTAATCTAAAGTGGTATCTCAGGTATTCGTCAGCCATCCCTCCCGTTGTTGTGAACACTAGTGGGGTGAATGTGCTTTGCTCTATTTCTGTGACGCGAGAGTTGTATTTTCGCTTCTTTTCATATTTTTAATAATGATAATAACAATAACGAACAGAAGAAAGTGGCACGCGCTGTAGATAGGAGGGCGGCGTTATAGAGAGGTTGAAACAAGATTCAATGCATGGACTGTCCACCAAAATAAGTGGCCCCTGTAGAGAGAAGGCCGTTAGCGGATTTTCGACTATAATAATAATAATAATAATAATAATAATAATTATTATTATTATTATTATTATTATTATTATTATTATTATTGTTATCATAATTATTGAGCTGATACACAATGAAAATTTCAACTGCCAAATGCAATTACTATGACGCGGCAAACATGTATTCTTCAAATGAAGCACCCACAAGGCTTTCGACAAGGCTTAATGGACAAAAAGAAGTAGCTTGTTTATTTGTATGGATGGCGATGCATATAGTTAAGAAAGTTAAAACTCAGTACATAAATAAAATAAAACAAGATGCCTCGCCTCTAAGTGGATTATAATGGCAGAACTTTAATAGTGAACCGTTTTCATTTGTATACATCTTCTGATCCAAAAGTATAATTTCAAACGATTTCCCACGACATAGATATTACACTGATGGTTTGATGCAACGTATTGGTACTTAATTAATTTCGGGGTACTTTAAAATTTCACGACTATTTTGCGGGGTTTTATTTTCGCGTTTGTTACAGGCATATATGGAAAAGGGCATTAAATTTTGCGATCCAAGCATCGTCAACTTGATTTTAATCCAGTTCAAATGACTGAAGTTTTTAAAATATCGAAAAAAATCGTGAGAAAAACTAGAAAAAGCGAAAGATACAGACAGAATGGAATAAAACCAGTTAATAAAACCAGTTAATGATCTGTCAGTATTTTTCGATAGATGTATCCTGTTCAGTATATGTTAATGCTATTTTAATAACATAAAAATACTAATCATTTTCTATATGGGTATTAAATTTTGTGGGAATTTTATTAGTGAGTCTGATTTCGTGATTTTTCTGCAAACGCGAAAAACGAAAATTAAGTACCAATAAACTAAGGCACTTTGAAGATCGCTGTCAGAGCTTGGAATTCTTTATATCTTAACTATCGTTCAACTCTTTTTATAGAATTGAAATATAATTACACTGAATGCCTCAAATTTATCATTTCTTTGTATCTTTGCCAGTGTGAGCTTCGCTTGACTTAGTAGAAGACAAAAAGTTTAATTCAACCTCCCTTGGTGAGTTTGTACACTGTTTTCAGTCCAAGGACACGTCTTGATGCGGATGATTTAATCTTGCAAAGATTCTTTTTTCGAGGTTTTCAGCCTCAGCACTGCTTTTTTTGAACAAATCCTTAATAAATGCAACGCGAAACTGTCTGATTCTTACGCAGTAAATAATTGGGTTGATCATCGAGTTTAAAACTACCGCAGTGAGGCTAGTATGGAGAGTGATGTAATTAATATTAACTGAAAATCTTACAGGAGTCAGTCTTAATAGATTGACTAATATTAAGGGTAAATAAGACAAAATTAAGAAGAAAAATACCGTTGCGGTCATTTTAAAAGCTTTTTTCCCCTTCAAGAATTTCTCTCTGGCTTCTAAAGAGACTTGGTGGGAAGCAATTTGTTTTTGATGCCGACCTATCTCGTAGTAAAGCACGAATTGGCAAGAGAAAATTATGGTTAGGCATAAAGATATAGTAATAACGTTAATTACAGAGAAAATGTTTTTATCAGAAGCAAAAGTGGAAGGCACTGTTAATGGTATTGCTATCATCCAGAAAAGTGCAGACAAACCCACAAGGCGATTTTCAGTGACGATGGTTTCGTACCGCAGGGAATGTTTGATGGCAATGTACCTTTCTACATTGATCATGGCCAGGTGGGACAGTGATGCATTTCCTAATACTCTCAAAGTGATTGTTGATGAAAATGCTCTTATACAGTACGAAAACGCACTGGTATTGTTGCGTTGCAAATGTGCGATCATCCAAGAGACAAAAGCAGGTTGACCTATCAGTCCCATTACGAGATCAGTAGTCGACAAGCAAGCGAGTGCAATATTAGACTTGTTTTTCAATCGGTGATTACCTTTAACAGCGATTATTATCAGTGCGTTCAAAGCAGTTGTGATCGGAGAGGCAGTGATGCTGATGACAATTAGGACGACAAGACAGTCGTAAGCCTCCGGGGTAGTATGATCGAGAGATCCTTTTGGGAGGAGATTTTCACATCCACGTACTGTCTGCTCGGTATCTGAAGCTGAAGTTGAATTCATATTCTTTTCTTTGGCTCTGCTTAGTAAGTTGTTTCTGTAGCTGAAACACGACTTAACCTCTTAAGGGACGATCTTGGACGCGATTTTATGCGCTCTAAATTGTTGCACCTGTTCCAACACTTCAAAGAAGTATTCAATTCAGTCAATGAGAGGATTTTCCTAGTTTTAACATAAAAAAAAATGGTTTTAGGGGAATCTTAATTAAGGCAAGGTTTAATTATTATTTTTAATTAAACTGAAATCTTCGTTAATCGAAACGCCAACAAACCAACCAATGTATTATAAAATTGAGGCTCAAATATAGCTTTCGTTGAATTTGTAACTTTAAATCGGTTCGAGTTATAGTGTGATAGCAGATTTCGTAATGCTCAATATTCCGATCGAGTCGGACGGTTTATTACAGCGATTATATTTTTAATAAAACTGATATTTTAATAAAACTGTCTAAATAAAAACATTAACAAACCAATCAATATATCAGGTTATAAAAAGTGCAGCTTAAAAAGAGATTTTGTTGAATTTGTAACAGTGTTAGCAGAGTTTTTATTAAGCGCAGAAGTTTTTGATCTTTTATGTACAAAATGAACATTGTTAGAGTGATATATTTATTAATTTATATTTCATTCACAATCAGTTATTACTGAATACAACTTTTGTTACAATTGTAAATTATTATAAAAGTGAAGCTTGAGCGGAGTGGAATTTGTAAACCTTAAGACAGCTCGTATCAGCCGACCATTATTTGTTTCTAAATGTTTTCAATGGATAAACATCGTAATTTGGACCAGAGAATTGGCAATATGACTATAAATATGGTGCAGTAAATTGTGGCAGTTGTCTGTTTTCTCTGAAGAAATGTTCGTACATTTTAAACGTCACAAAGAAAAGCATCCTCCATCGCTAACATTGAACACTGGGTCAGAAGAACTTTTAAAATTTATTAATTGATCTCACGACTCTCCATTTTTCGAATTTACATCGCCAGCTACAACTGATAAAAGAATTATTCAGGACGATCGAAGCACGCGCTTCCCTTGCACAACAAATTATAAAAGTGACAACAACAAAAGCAGTGAGATCAATCTGCTCCTATGTAGAATGCAGGGCAATAATGGGCTTTGAGCAAAAACTGTCGAAAAAGCTTATTTTTCCTTATTTTTCAGTTTACATTAAATTTCCAAAATCACGCGTACGGCCAACAAGTTTTGACCTTTGCCAAGCGCCAATTTTGCAGTGCGAGTTTTCGAGTGTTTGAAAGAACAGTATTGGCAGTTACGCTTCAACCTGATGAGAAAGAATTTAATTAAAAAATCGCACACACTTAGAAGTAAAAAGTACTCCAACGCTAATCTGTTGCTTTTCGTACAAACTATGACGTCACTAACTTTAACATCTGGAAGTCGAGCAAGCTCGTTCCCAGGGTTCTCTCTCTTGCTTCGAGAAAGAACCCTGGTTGTAGCTGGTCACGTAGAAATCAGTGTGTGTCAATAAATTGCGCAGCGGGGGTAGCTCCTCCACTAAATTTTGTCGACTGGACTATGAAATACTATATGGGGTAGGGAGAAAACGTTTGTTTCAAAATGGCGCTTGAGTTTCTGAGTTTTTCTGTGTTTATTTTGAAGGCAAGACAGGTTATTTGTTTACAGAGTGTGTACATGAAAAAAGATTTGCTCGCCGTCCTGTCGACAGGCTTGCTCGCTTTGCACGTGCAATTCATCACAGGCGGTCCAGACGTAGTTTGTGTCAAGTAACATGGACAAAATGGGATGAGTCGTGGAATCTCCCATGAATTAAAATAGTCCAGAACTCAAAATGTAGCAAAATATCTTTAACTGAGTCTCCTCGTCTTTTCTGACCGGTTAAAGTGACATTTTGTCGAGTTCTGCAGTCGTAGGTACCATCCACTAAAGAAGGCTTAAAGGCTGGCTACAAGAAAAACGGACCATCTCTACGCGAAGCGCTATAAATTTGAGAATAATCGACGAATCCGCTCCATTTTTAAATCTCGGTCGCCCTTTTTCTCGTTTAGCTTCGCTGGCCTGCCGCCCACTTTCTCTTTTTCTCTGTCTTTCTGTTGCTCTATATTCCAAATTTGTGGACATGACAATTTATCAAAGCTTGATACTTTAGACAATACGATACAGAAAAAATTTCGGCTTTCCGTTTTTGTCTTTATTGACTCTTTTCTTGTCTCTGCTTTACAAGACGCCGGTGGCTATAAGATTCCCGCCAAAATAACCTCGAGTTGCATTTTGGTTGCCGCACCTGTTGATTGAGTTATTTTACATTGGTGTGCCTGTGGTGCGGACGGACGGTCTCTCGGGCGGGCAGTCGGTCAGTGTACGGTCACGTGATTACCAAATTTTCTCGGATGGGTAGATTACTTCATTTTCTTACCCACGGTGCTCCGCTGGCGCGCTTCGCGCGCGAGAGCTTTGCTAAAAATCTACTTTCGCTTCATTGGTTAATTGTCCCTTAAAACGACTGATTTGAAAGATATGCTGAATAATTAGATGTTTGCTTTCGGCTGAAATTAACTTTAAAAGGCTTCTTATCTTTGAAGAATGACATCAAAAACTAATTACGACAGAGACTATTTTTCTGGATCCCGAGCTTGGGTTTAACCTCCATTCAGAGGACACCTTAAAACTCAAAGAGTCTCTGACCACAAAAATTGTTGACACATTTAAGTGTACACTAGTCTCAATGACGACCGCTTTCACAACTTGGACTATATCCCTCTTAAATCGATGTAATGCACCGGTGGGAATTCAACACAAAATATCGCAGAGATTAATTATTTATGATTTTAAAACATTATCAATAAAAAAGCTAGCTTCTCTAAATATTGAATGCAGAGTAGAATAAAAGAAAAAGTTATTTATTTGTTAGTTAATTATTAACAAACCCCAGCAGGGGACACTTGGACACCTTGGTCCCGAGGGTGTTCCCGGAAAATGACTTTCACTATAACATACTATTTTGGGATACAGTTTTCGATAAAAGCTGGCAGTGACTTCTACCCCGTTATTAAAATAATGCGCTCATTAGGAATGAACCTGTTACCAAAAATTTTATCACCATTTTAGGGATAACAAGGGTCGCAAATATAGCCACAATGCATTACGTAAAGACCAAAAAGAAAGGAGCATGGAGTTATAAAAAAATAACTCGCGTAACCTTGACTGGTTATGAATTATATTTTTATGATATCATGACCACTTTTTTTTCATGTTAAAACATATGTTTTCGTTCTGTTAGCATTGTCCTCTGCAAACAATAACTATGATAGACTCCGATAAAATCAGACAAGATTGATACTTTCTCTGTTCCCCAGGATTGTCAATATTCCTAAACAAGAAGAATTCTCTTTCTATCGCATATTGCGACACGCCCTTCCTTTGTGACTGCAATTCCAGCAATTCTTTTTATTCCTTCAAATGGAGAAACTTTTGCTGGAATGCTCATACGAATGTGGCGAATGAATACTCCATCGATAGAGTATAGACTGACAAGAAGCTCTGTGCAGATAACAGGGGAATGAGTGTCCTTGGACTCACTTAAAACCAAGACTTGTTCGCTTGGGTGATGAAATTTGATAAACCGTGGGATAAACCGTTCTTTCCCTAGCTTAAACTGAGAAAGACACTCTCCATATTCTCCAAGAGAGTACCATTACCTTGCCAGCGTTGACATAAGTTATGTCTTTTGCGTTGTTCAACATTCCAGCTCCCAACCTTTTTATAACAAAGTGTTTCTCAATGTCAAACACCTGTATATCTGATGCCACATTTAGCGCGAATAGTTTGGTGTTGTCGCTTACAACCCAGGGCTGCCCGTAAGCCAGTTCCATTCCTTTAGGGTTATATTCTTGCTGTAGGGTCATGTTCTTGTCAAACACGAACACAGATAAACCTTTTAAGTCAGAATGACCTATTAGGTAAATGTTGTCACGCTGATCAGTATCTATTGCTGTTTCAGCAAATTCACTCATGGGAACTGGTAAAGAGATTGGTAAAAATTGGATATGCTCTCCGCTACTAGAAAAAACTTCAATTTGAGACTTCCAAAAAAATTCTCTGTATAAAACAAGGATTTCTCCTTGGGTGTTTGTGGTCATAATGCATGGTAGTCTCATTTTGTGTTTTCTTTCACCATATGCACCAAGTTCCAACGGTGTAATGCAAAACTCTTCGACATCAGCGTCACGCAGTACTTCAACAACTCTACAGTCACGCAACGGGTCGATTTTATCTTCCCCCGTATCAATACAAGGCCATAGCAAGAGATTAGTATCGTCGCTGATCATTTGCGAGACGTCATATATGGCTCTATTCAGACGACAAACAGACTTAACTATTTCTTTGCGTTCAGACTTGTTAAACCGGGACTTGAAGCCCTTTTTAAGCTGAACTTTAAAGCTTTCTTTGATCGCTGGTACAGCATGCAGCTCTTCAAGACACAGTCTACAAGCCAAAAGTGCGTCCGCGGGAACGTCTATTTTTCCCAGTAATGTTGATATGACACGAAACTGCATCGCTAGAAGGCGATCAGAAGTGCTGAGTGCTTCATTGCTGAAAGCTTCTGTAGCCCTTCTTCTGGCATCTTTAAATCGGCTTTTTGCATCGGAAAGTGTTGCCTGCGTGCAGACGTCTCCTATTTCCTCTGTTGCACGCGTGCAACAAAGGAAATAAGAGACGTCTGCACGCAGGCAACGGAAAGTGCTCGTGTAGATGGCCCATTGTCTTTTGTTAACGATAGGCATTTCATTTCCTTAGCTAGGTAAGCAGGTTGAACGCAGGTTGGTGAGGCAGCCACGTTGACTTCTGTGTTATCTTTGCCGTCTTTCCTCTCTAACCCGTAATCTGTTACGTTATCTTCTCTGGCTTTCATGTCTAATACTTTGTAGAGGTATAGAATGCCTTCCTTGAAAAAGCTGATACTCGCTAACAAGTTTGCTCTTGCTATTCCGTCTAGCTTCGACTTAATTTCATCGATTTCACTTACGATCAGTGTACGAAATTGCTCATCTGTAACATCGCCTTCCTTAAGTCTGTCCGCCACCATTTTTCGTCCTTTGTCCAGCAGCTTGCCTACAGTGGCTTTGAGGATAGCCATGACTATTGAAGCCATATTTGTCGGAAAAAGTATGCGCTTATTAAGCACGTTTGGGTAAAAGTGTCTGAACGAAAAAGGCGTGTTTTGCGGGAAAGGGAAGATGATATTTAACATCATGCTAAAATAGATCAAATAAAAAAGATTAAATTTAACATTACTGACGAGACAGACGAAGATACAAGGTCGAGCAGTTCGGTGGGCTTAAAGAGTCGTCGAATAATGGGATAGGCGCCCTGTAATACACGCCCCCTTTTCGGACCACAGCATATCCAGGCTCCTTCAAAAAAGAAAGAGCTAGGAACCATTTTTTTCTGTTTTTCCTATTTTCTCCTACGTTCTTTGTTTTTATAATGGCTATTTGAATATCTTTTCTGCACCCCCACCCCCACCCCACCCCCCCCCCCCCCCCCCCCACACCCATTTGCGGACAGCAAACCTCTTTTACCTGATAAAGAGGTGAAAAAAGAATTTCTTTTTTCTTTTTTTTATTATTTTTTTATTAAAAAACTGGTTTTATTTTATTATGTAGGTATAAAATAAAATTATATTAATGTAAAAAAATACATAAATAATAATAAAAGAGTAATATCCCCTATTTGGCACAAAGTAATCTCCGGTCTCTTAAAAAAAAAAAATGCTGGGAACCTTTTTTTTTTTTTTTTCCTTTTTTTCCCCTCTTTTTTTTTTTTTTAAATGGCATTTTTAATTTTTTTTCTGCCCCCCCCCCCCCCCCCCCCCCCCCCCCCCCCCACCCAAAAACCTGTTTGACGGAAGACACATTTTATGGCTGTGAAAAAGTTGAGAAAACGTTCTGTTTCTTACTTAAATTTGATCATTTTTAAAGAAACAGTGCATTTACAGTAGTTAAAGGGATATAAAGATCTAAACTAGGTCTGAAAAAGGGTTACCATTTGCCAATAGAAGGTATATGAAAGGGGTCCCTTTTTAGTCAAAAATGGGTAACAGGTTGGACCTCGGGGCGGGGCCTCCCAATATAATACTTTCTTGAGACTCCCCCCTCTGGGGGATTATATGCTAAAATTACTTCGAAGTAATAATGGTTGCATGACACTTATTTCAACACTTGACCTGGGCGGTCTCATATACTGCCTCATAATGCCAAATTTTCAACATGACATAATTTCCCTCCACAGAGGAACTACCGAAACGTTCCTTTTTATTCTTAGTGCTTCACATACCTGATTCACACTCTCTTTAGGGCGCACTGAGCTTTTCCGGCAATGGCTTCAATAGTGATGGGTATCCTCAAAGCAACTGTAGGCAAGCTGCTGAATAAAGGAAGAAAAATGGTTGCGGACAGACTTAAGGAAGGCGATGTTACAGATGAGCAGTTTCGTACACTGATCGTAAATGAAATCGACGAAATCAAGTCGAAGCTAGACGGAATAGCAAGAGCAAACTTGCTAGCGAGTATCAGCTTTTTCAAGGAAGGCATTTTATACCTCTATAACGTGTTGGACTTGAAAGCCAGAGACGAAATTGCAAATAAAACAGCCTACGAAGCAGAGAAGACAGACAAAGAAAACAGAAAGGTCAACTTGGGCTCCTCAGCGGCAAGTGTCGAACATGTTTCTCTTGCGAAGGAACTGAAAAGCCTACAGCTAACAAACTACAATGATCCAGCAACAAGAGCCCTTTCTGACGCAAAAAGTCGGTTTAAAGATGCTAGAAGAAAGGCAACAGAGGCCTTTAGCAATGAAGCATTAAGCACTTCTGATCGCCTCCTCTCGATGAAGTTTCGTGTCATGTCAACATTGCTAGAAAAAATAGATGTACCAGAAGACGCACTTTTGGCGTGTAGACTGTGTCTTGAAGAGCTGCATGCTGTTCCAGCGATCCAGGAAAGCTTTAAGGTTCAGCTTACAAAGAGTTTCAAGTCTCGGTTTAACAAGTCTGAGCGTAAAGAAATAATCACTTCCGTTTGTCGCCTGAACAGAGCCATCTTTGACGTTGCGCAAATAGTCAGGGAAGACACTAATTTATTTCTGTGGCCTTGTATTGATACAGGAGAAGGTAAAGTCGATCTGTTGCTTGACTATAGAGTAGTCGAAGAACACTGCCAGCTTGATATTGAACCGTTTTGTATTAAATCGTTGGCCCTCAGTCACGACCCTGAACAGGAACTACACAAACGGAGGTCAGCGTGGATTATGACCACCAACACTCGAGGAGAAATTTTTATTTTGGACAGAGCAGTTGATGAAGTGATGTCTCGAATTAAAGTGTTTTCTTCTAACGGAGAGCTTCAAAGGTCGTCACCCCTTTCTATACCTTTTTCTACATTTGAATTTATGGAAATTGCGATGGCTACCGATGAAGAAGACAAGATTTACGTACTAGGTAACTGCACTTTTCCCGGTGAAATGTTCAACACAAAGTTTGTGTTTGTGTTTGATAAGAATATTACTCTGCATCATGGATATGAGCTTAGTGATCTGCAGTCCTGTTACCCGCGAAGGTTTCTTGTTGGCGACAACAACAAACTGTTCTTATCAGCAAAGAATTCGGATATACGAGTGTTCAACACGAACGGATACCTAGAACGGAGGTTTGGAGCAGGGTTTTTAGAAAGCCCAACGGACATGGCTTACATCAACACCGGCAAATTACTGGTATTGGACGGTAATCATGTTCATATTTTCAGCGAAGAGGGTGTTCACCAAGTGCAGTTTAAGCTAGCCGTATCCGTACCATTTAAACCTGAATTCTTAGTATTTCATCACTTAAATAACCAAGTCTTGGTTTTTTGTAGGAACATGGGGTATTGTGGAAAATCGCGTTCCACACCCGAATATACAGAAATTCTTCTCAGTCTTTACACCATAAGTGGTGTGTTTGTTCGCGACATTCATCTGCGCATAAAAGGAGAATTGCTCTTCACATCCGCTAAAACAGTCACAAAGAAAGGACGTGTCATAGTGGGTGTAAATGATTCCTTTGGTAGACCGAGTGTTCTTGTATTGTGAGACAGAATCGATATGCACTTCTTTACTGTCAATGTGAAAGTAAGCTCTGATTGGCCCAAATAATGTTGATTGGTCATAGTTAGAATCACATAAAATATACTATGACATAGACTCACAAAAATAACAAGAAAAAAAAATTGGAAAAGTAACAGTATTTCACCAAATTTTCAAAAGAAGGGAAATGCAAAGTGAAAAAGTCAATGGGGAACCTCATCATGTGATGGGTGGGCTGGGGTGGGCCTAGCCCCCCACGAAGACATTCTTACGGGTTCGTCACGCAATCTTTCCTCCCCCACGTTCGTGGGGTAGGAACGCGTGACGAACCCCTAAGAACGTTTGCGTGGGAGGCTAGGGTGGGCCTGGGATGGGATGGGGTGGTGTGAGGCAATATTGGCTATCTCCCAGGGTTTTAAAGAAGGAAGACGATAAACAATAGAATAAAACGAGCAAAGAAAAAGTAAAACGATTCCTGTAGCTACATTTCACTGAGTAAAATCAGTCATTGGTGGTCTATAAAATAATAGTCATACATATTTGTCGCTCTCGGGGAAATTCGTCAAATTCGCATCGGCCTTCAAAAGAGAATTCGAGGATCGATGTGAAAGTAAATAAACAACCGAGACAGCGAAACAAATAAAAAGAACTCAAATCATTTTATAACCAGGAGAAAGGCAGTTGCCGCGGCGAAGAAAATATGGCAACAAGAACATTCTTCTTTGCCAGGCAACTAATCGGGTTGTGGCAGACTTTGCGTATAATGGTTCACTCGCCAGAGGCTCTAAAAACGTAGAAACGTTTTCTTTTGTGAGTGAAGCTAAAAGAACCTGCCGGAAAAAGAGCTTTGGCTCACATCGCGGACTAACGATCATTATGAAGGGGTGAATGAATAGTGATTAGACCGAATAGTCTTTGCATAATTTCAGTTATCACCTAAACAGGTGTAATCTTTTGATGTTTCAACCTATATAAAATATCCAGAATATCAATCGCCAAATCCCATTGGTGCATTTTGCTCAGATGAATAAATTACAGAATGGCAAGTAAGTGCTTTTAACAAATTTATCTCGCAGAGCTTACAACCCTTTCATAACTTTGTGAGTACATTTAGGCCTGTTTCAAACATCGTGCTACTGCTGTGCTAAGCTGACTCGACTGCAGCACGACAATAGCACGACTTGGTTTCAGACGTCGAATTTAATTCAGTCGAATAGAACGGCTGTTGCCGAAAACAAAACACAAAAATAAAGAAACGGTTTAGCAAACTTTTAAATGTATTTTTAATTTATGAATTGAGTTCGGCACGGCAGTAGCACGACGTTTGAACGTGTTTGAAACGGGCCTGTCAGTTCAGGGACCGCGGAGGGGGAGGGGCTGGTAGGGCCGCGGCCCCGCCACTTTTTTGCGTCCCCGCCCCCACTTTTTGCGATAAAAAGAAAAATAGTTAAAATAAAAAAAGGCTTGAAACAAGTTTTTTCCGTCTATATTCCGATATATTCTCTGTATTTTCTTTAATTTCAAACGTCAGGCATTTTGTGGGGCTCCTGTGCTTTTCGCGGTAATTGTGCCCCGGGGCCGACTTGCCCCTTGACCAAACGCCATACCTTGGCCACCCCTTCGCTTCGTTCGGCAGCGTGTTTTGTACTTCCAGCTCCGGCAGAGTGTTTTTTATCAGTTTTATCAGACGAAATGAAGAAAATTACTAGCTTTTTCAAGCCAAACGAGGCTGAGTAGTTGTTTTGAGTTGATAAAAGTTTTATATTTTGTCTTTCTCCTTTCGAATCAAGGAAATATTCGATGGCAAGAAGAATTACATTACTTGAACAGTGAACGGCCATAGTTAGAAATTTTTTAGATCACTTAAGTGTAGTATTTTCTATACTATACATAAATAATACGAGATCTCGCTGATACTCGCGCGAGATAAACGAGATGTCGTCAAGAATGCCGACCTATAAAGAGCAACAAATACTGGATAAAGTATGCAGAGTCACGCGACAGAAACAAATCAAATACTATGATTTTATTCCTTTTTTCGATTTTCAATATGAAAAAAATATTTTCAATTGTCAGCCCTCCCACTTTTCACCTTGCTCCGCGGTCCCTGCAGTTGCGTATTGAAACCATTAGACAGAATTTCGTTTCCCATAAAAAGCAAGGAAATCGCCGAAACATTTCGTAGCTTTTAAAGTAGCATCGAAAAAAATAATTGGTCTTAGCAGTAAGTAAAGCTTGGTTTCTCTTTATTACAGTAAGGAAGTACAATAAAGACAATAAAAACTACAATAAAGATTGAACATAGTGGATAGAGGATAAAAGAGCCTGAAGCTAATCAGAACAAATAATAAATAATTGAATGAAAGAGTGACTGAGTAAATCACTGAGTGAATGAATGAATGTGTAAACGGCTTAATAGATGGAATCTACTTACATTACTGCCTCTACAGAGGTGTACATACGAGATGTTTATTAAGTGGTGCTGTTACGGTTCCGCCAGACCAGCCGTATGGTAGAGCAAATTTATAGACACAAAGACAGTGGAGGTGTTGTCAACCAATGAGAAAGGCCTGTCCCCTGCTGAGTCCTACCAATCAAGAACAGCTTGAACAACTTATTGAATATTCAAGATCCAACAAGTCAATATCACTTGCCGGAAAAATATAATTGCGATCTTGTGCTCTGATTAAATGGGTTTAATGATTGCAATATAGGCTTGCTTTTTTTATTTATAATGCTAGTTAGCTGTGCCGGATTGAACTCGGTGCAAAGTGATTTTTTTTGCTGTAAACATGCGCCTTTTACCTTACTGAGAGAGTTTTTTTTTTAGCCCTGGCTAAATCTATAAATTATAATGCATCGTCTACCCCAGATAATTTACAAGCGCTGGGTATTGACAAATTGACCAAACATCTAATCGTCTTTTTTCAAAGTCAGAAAAAATGGTAGACAGATTGTAAAATGAAATAATATGTCCACAAATTCCACATTGTCTACACTACTCTTAACTACCAATTTTACACTGCTTCTGACAGCTGGCTGTTTTAAGACTTGAAATGTGATAAACCAGGCGGAAGACTTTTTCCGTATACTGTAACCAGATTAGGAAACAAAACCGAGAGTGCGCGCCTCACGTAACTACCAACGCACAAAATTTAGCGCGCGCCATTCACTATCCCGCCAATTGGGACAAGGCGGACGGCGTGCTAGTCACTAATGAACGCAAAACACATGACAAAAAACGAAGCACGTGGTAGTCGATCCAGTAATAATCAAGAGGAAACAGAGCCTTTTGCCCAAAATTATGCTAGCACAATCTATCAAAGCCTAGACGCAAGTCTAGTATCTACTATGGAAGTTGGTCGCTGCTGGTTATCTGGATTATGGGCTCCTAATACGGAAAAAGAGTTTTCTCTACACGGCAGTTAAAGTGAAATTTGAATACATATTTTAATTTGTTTAATTTCGAGTTTAAGTTGTAATTTATCTTTAAAATGTTTCAATTTTTATTGTTACTTACTAAAAACCTTTCGGGAAAATGCCTACGGGCCCGTGCAATTTTGCTTTTCGAGAAAATGCCCTACGGGCTCGTGCAATTTTGTTAGTCTTTGAAAAAATTTACTCGTGCTTATTTATTCCAAATTGCACTCGAAATCATGTGATTACCTGTACGAATAGGGAAAATTTCGAGTTTGCACACGCGCACGAGAGGAGAAAATTAGAAGAGGAGCCTCCCCTCACTTTGTAATTAAAAAAAAATTTCTTCCCTGGAGTCCACATATTAAATTTTTGGAATAGTGTAGAGTTTGTTCAATCTTAGAAAGTCCTGGCAGGAGACCATCATCCGTGACAGATTATTGTACAAAGTTGTACAATTTATTCGTCCTACTACTTCGTAGTCCAGTCCAAAGTTCACTTTGCGTGTGGTGGACATATTTCCCGCTTTATTGCACACAAATTAAAGGACGCACGTGATTGGTCAAAAGGAAGGTCTTGTAAACCCCGAGGTGAATAAATATTCAATTTGTAACCGCCCCATTTCGCCATTTTCTACAAGTACCGTCGTCTGGAGATCACGGGAGAAAGCATGGCGGAGCCAAAGTGAGTTATCTTTTTCATTTCTCGTATTTTTAACTCAGTAAAATTCGTGTTCGTCACTTCATACACAATGTGTGAGCCCGTGGTACAGTAACTGACTTTAAAGACTTTTGGAATGGCGTTCGATGAGCGGTCGCATCTCGAAGAGTGTGCAAAAAAGCCGCCACAGAGAAATGTTTGTGGACATTACCAAAGCACTCACCGTCTTTCTATACTTTCTTCTCATTTGTATCGCAGAGCGGACATTGCATTGATCGGTTTGGCAGTTATGGTGAGTCTTTCTCTGTGTGTGAATGTTTCAGATGTTTACAAGACTTTCTGGATCACCATGCTCAGTAAAATAACCTTGCACTCTTTACTACTTAATCAGCCAGCAACCACTGAACATTTCTTGGATTAACTGTTAAAAAGTATTACTCTTTTTTCAGGGTCAAAATCTGATCCTTAACATGAATGATCATGGATTTGTGGTAAGATTCATTCCCTATCTTGTCGATAAATTTTTGGCAGTTTGAATCAATATCGCTTTAATGCAACTGTTTGCGTATTGCAACGTAGATATTTTATATTTAGCATTTAAAAGAAAAGAAACTTGGCAAACAAATAAGATAGCAATTGAAGTCACGCAAAATTGAGAAGTGTTGAATTTTCTCAATGCACTTTTGCATTTCTATGGGAGAAAAATAGCCTTACAGACACATTTATGCAGTCTTTTAGTAACAGAAAGGATGATTTCTTACGGCCCTTTCTTTGAAATTTGTTTAATTTCATTCATTTATCAGTTTGCGTAGTTTGCGTAAGTTTATTGTCATGAAATCACAATGACTCAGTAAATTGTGCTATGTCCAATCAGGTTTTAGCACCTAGACTTTCCCGGTCCAATATTTTTTCCTGTTCACCTTTTTTAT